TTTATATTCCTGACCAATACAATTAAAAAAAATGAAAATTTCCATTTAATTTCATCGCCAACATCATTCCTTGATTATAATAATAAAAAGTCAAAAATCAGATCAAGTTTTTTTTTCTCCCGACAACAACAACAACAACAATAATAATCTTTGAAATCAAACTTGGGCAAAATCCATCATCATCCAGAGAAAGAAAAGAATTCAACGATGAAAATCATCGAAAAAAACAAAATTATTCAATAAAATAGTTAAATGAAACGAAAAAAAAATCATTTTTTTAGTCAAAATCAACCAAAAAAAGAAAAAACCTAATCAATTTTGATTAATTATATATGATTTTGGTCAAAAAAAGATGAATAGAGATAAATTATAATGGAAAAATTCATCAATGAAAAGCAATCAACGCATATCGATATTATTTTCTTTAAAAACTAATTCATCATCATTGTTGTTGATCGAGTTGTTGTTGTTGTTGTTTTTTTCAACAACAACAACAACAACGAAAGAGTTGAAAGCATCCAATGGATATTCCAGTGTTTGTGTTCGTTCAGCATTTTCTCCCAAAACTTTTTAATAACTTTTTCATTGACGATGATAATGATGATAACTTTATTTGAATCAGGGCTGAACCCAGAAACAAAAATTTTGCAAAATTTCATGAATTTTTAGTTTTTTCTTGTTCGTTTTTGCAATTTTCAATTATTAATATGACATTTTTGACTTGGTTTGTTTGTTCATCACTATCATCATATTCTGTTGCGTGTGGCGTGTGTTTATCATTGATCCAACGACAACAACAACAAGCGACGACGAAGAAGAAGAAGATTCATTCGGGCTTGACATGATTTTTGTTTTGAAAATAAAACCCATTTTGTAAAAATGAATGAAAATGTCGTGATTAGGATTTTGTTTTTACATTTTTACATTTTCATTTTCAAACAAGGAAAAATTTTAATTTTTCATTTTTGTCAAATAAACTGAAAAATGAACCAAAATTTCAAACCAACACCCAAAATAAACGAGAAAAGATTGATCAAAATCGATTGATCGATTTTTGGATATTTTGTTGCTATTCAAATATTATTTAAGGGTGATCGTTTAAATATGAAATTTGAAGGAAAAGAGAAAACCAAAATTGGATATTTATTTCAATAAATGATAAATTGGGTTTGGTTTTACGAACATTATTTTCATTTACAAACAATATTCATTCATTCAGTAATTACTTGTGAACGACAGTCATAGTCATAGTTAACCTAACCTGAAACTGATAAATCCGGGAATGTGGATACCGGATTCAAAGATGAAAGAAGGATTTTTTCTGAAAAAATTTCGAAAAAATAAATACATTCAACACGAATTTTCAAATCCCAATCAATCAATCAAATCCGAAATCCAAAATCAATTGGTTTTTAATCTATCCTGTTTATTTGTTTTGTTTGCTTGGTTGATTTAACATCACCATTAAGGATATGATCACGAGAATGAAAATTTAGAAAAATTTTTCAATCAAAATAGATTAAAAAACTTTGGAAAAAATTGAATAATTAAGGTCAATTGCCGTTTGTTTGTTGTCAGTGTAATCATCGTTTAATTTTTGAAACAAATTTTTCAAAAAATGTTTTCATTTCGAGATTGTCCAGTTTGTCCAGGCAATCTATCCATCCATCCATCCAGATTTTCTTTAAAATTTTTTGTCAAAATTTTTCAAATGTGAAACAGAAAAATGATGATAACCAACCAGCCAGCCATCTTATTCATTCATATGTTTTTCACACGAATTTTTACGGTCCAGTTGATAATGACGACGATGTTTAGAAGAAAAGAAACTATAGTGAGAAAAAACAAGGCGTTCTTCCAACCAAGATGTTTCGGTCAGTTGATCACACACACA